ACATGCCGCTCGCACGCCCATTGCGGCACACCCCATCACACGTCTCGCGCCCCACGAGGAGCTCCACCTACGGCACCAATCCGCATGCCGTCCCGCGCCAATTTCGGCACACCCTTCACGCGTTTCGCGCCCCACATAGCTCCACCTACGGCATCAGCGACACAGTCCGCATGCCGCCCTCCCTACCCATCTCGGCACACACCACTCACACGTTTCGTGCCCCACAGTGGGCCATCCACGGCCTCAACGACACGGTCCGCGTGCCACGCCCCCCAGCCAAGGTCGCCTAACCTCTCATACGTGTCGCGCCCCACAGGGAGCTCCACTCAGGCTCCCAGCGACACCGTCCGCATGCCCCCACCCCCCCGCACAGTTTGGCACACCCCTCCAATTGCTCCGTGCCGGCCAGGGAGCCACACCTGCGGCCCCAGCAACACAGTCACGGGTCTGCAGACCGCACGCCCCACCCCCCCCGCTCCCCCCCCCCCCCAGGGAGTGGTGTGAGAACGAACCGATACAGCTCGCCGACAGCTCCGGGGGTTGGGGGGCCAAGGGGGAGGGGGGATCGGGTCATCCTCCGCGAAAAGAGGCCCATCCCAGCAAATGTCGCTCCGCTGTCGCCTCCGACGCCTAGTCGTTGCTGTTCCTCCCCTCCTCCTCCTCCTTCCTCCTCCTCCTCCTCCTCCTCCTCCTCCTCTATCCTCCTCCTCCTCCTCCTCCTCCTTCCTCCTCCTCCTCCTCCTCGCTCCTCCTCCTCCTCCTCCTCCTCCTCCTCCTACTCCTCCTTCTCCTCCTGCTCCTGCTCCTGCTCCTCCTCCTCCTCCTCCTCCTCCTCTCCCTCCTCCTCCTCCTCCTCGTCTTCCTCATCCTCCTCCTCCTCCTCCTCCTCCTCCTCCTCCTCCCAAGAACCGGTTTGGCTCGAGCGCGCCTTGGGGCGCCCTTGGGCCGCCCCGAGCCTTCACCAGGCGTGCTCGGGGCGTCGTCGCGATGGCGGACCAGTGTTGGGCCCCCCTGGCGGCGGCGGCAGATGCGGGGCGAACAAGGAAGTGATGCGGAGCCTCCCAGGGGGGGGCCACTGCTGCTCGGCGTGCGGGGCGGCATGCTGGCCGTTGCCCCCCACGGTGCTGGAGGTTGTCCACCGCTGGGCGGCCGTGGAGCAGCTGGGCGGACGCGGCCGCGCCTGCTCGCGAGGGCCCTGCAGCTCGCGCTGGCGGTCCCCCCCTGGAAGGGGCACGCCTCGGTCGGGTGCTCCTGGGCTTGGCTGGCGGGCGGCCGACCGATGCCGAGTGCAGACGTGGGGGAGCAGCGCTGCGATGGGGCGAGTGCCGCTCGTGTCGCCCATGCCCAAGGAGGCCCCCGCGGGCCCGCTCGGCGAGGCGGCGGCGCAGCATGTCTGGCAGCAGGCGTCGCACAGGCGCACGAGAACGACGGGCGTCTGGCGCTCCGCCGCGGCAGTGGTGGTGCAGTGGCTCGCGCGGGGCTGGCTCGGGCGGCGCGTGGCAGCCGCTGCGAGGGTGGCCAGCAGCGCCGCGAGGAGCCGCAGCCCCATGCAGCGCACGGGGCCGCCGCCCCTACCCCAGGAGGGGCCGCGGGTAACTGGCAGGAGCGTGCTGGACGGTTCCACGGAGCTGGCCGACGATGGCGGCGCGGTGGCGGGCACGCGCGGAGCGGCGGTGGTCGACGCGGGAGCTGATCGCGACCAACCTGACCGTCTACAACCAGAAACACGAAGTGAAGGCTTGCGAGAACTGCAAGGGCAAGACGCACATCCCTCTGGACTCACGGGCCTGCCGCTCGTCCGGCCCCCGGCACCTGGGGCCCGCCGGCAGCGCACGCGGCGGCCCCAGGGGAAGGGGACGAGGGGGGGAGGCAGGCGTGAGGAGCCGCGCTGGCGGCCGGGCCCGCCCGGACGCCTCGAGAAGCAGATGCGGCGCGGCAGCCCTGGGAGCCGAGGCCTGGCGACGGGGCCGCCCAGCAGCGGCGGCGGGCCAAGACGCGACGAGGGAGAGACAGAGAGAGAGTGAGAGCAGCTCGGCCAGCCAGATCGATTCTGCGCAGCCCTGGGAGCTGAGGACGCAGTCCCTCGATCGCCTAGGATGTTAGAGCCCACGATCCCCGTCCGGGCTGCGGGGGGTGGCAACCCTGACGGCACAGGGTCGGATCAGCGCACGTGCAGCGGGGTCGCCAGGGCCGCTCGGCCGAGAGCACCGCCGCCGCACGGCAAATGGCCGCCGCGGTCGACGAGGAGCTCGAGCGGCTCGGCGCGGAGCACGGAGCGGCTGTTCCCGCGCATACCCAGCAGGTGGCCGAGTCGCTGCCCGCCCGGGAGACTCTCGCCGTCGTCGAGGCGGAGCCGCGCGCGGCGGCTGGCTCTCGGGCGCCGCGCGAAGCGCATCCGGTGCCACAGCAGGCGCAGTGGAGACCTGTCTGGGGGCGACGCCGCCCTCGAGTGGCCGTCGCCGTGGCACGGGCGGGCTGGGCGAGGACGGCGCGGCGCCGCTCCCGCGCCCAGGCCGTGCCCGGGGCGGCCTCGCAGGGGCGAGGCCTGGCCGCGTCGCAGCCCTCGCCCGCTGGACCGCAGGTGCTCGCGCGAGGTCGGGCCGGTCCCCCTACAGGGGGATTGTGGGGGAACAAATGAAAGTAGTCAAACAAGTACCCCCAAAACGCTCCAGAATGGTCAAAAGCTCGTCCCCTGACTATTTGTTTGATATTTTTGTATGTTCCTCCTGTAGAGGGACAGGCCCGACTTCGTGCTCGCGGGCCGTCGAGGCCGCCGACAAGCGCCCCCGCCGCCGCGCCTGCCGCCCTCGATCCTCGATCCTCCTCCTCCTCCTCCACCTCCTCATCCTCCTCCTCCTCCTCCTCCTCCCCTCCTCCTCCACCTCCTCATCCTCCTCCTCCTGCTCCTCCTCCTCCTTCTCCTCCTCCTTCTACTCCTACTCCTCCTCCTCCTCCTCCTCCTCCTCCTCCTCCTCCTCCTCCTCCTCCTCCTCCTCCTCCTCCTCCTGCTCTTCCTCCTCCTCCTGCTCCTCTCCTCCTTCCTCCTCCTCCTCCTCCTCCTCCTCCTCCTCCTGCTCCTCCTCCTCCTGTTCCTGCTCCTCCTCCTCCTCCTCCTCCTCCTCCTCCTCCTCCTCCTCGTCCTCCTCTTTCTCCTCCTCGTCCAAATTCACTTGTCGTCCTTGAACAGAGGATGGAGAGTATGGAGAGTGAATCAACTATGACCAACGATGACCGGAGAGGCACGTCACAAGCGTGAAGATGGGGCAGATACTTAAACATGAGAGAGGAGGACACAACCTGGCAGGGGGGGAGATCGTGGGGGGAGAGCAGGACGACGCTTGTAAGGACGCGCATGGAGGAGGCTGCAGGAGATGTGGACCAGGAGCAGTAGCGAGGGCACGACGAGTCGTGGGCAGGCGAAGGACCAGGCCGACGAAAGGCCACAGAGGGCGCAGACGAAGGCAGGGTGACGAGCCGAGGCTCGGGGGATGTCAGCAGACCACCTCGCCGACCCTGGGCCCGAGAGCGGTGCACATGAGCGACGATCAAAAACGGGTCGTCGTCGTCGTCGTCGTCGTCGTCGTCGTCGTCGTCGTCGTCGCCGTCTTCTGGCACAGCGACCTGGCGCGGTGGCGTGCACGGGCCTCCCGCGCGGCAAGCCACAGCGGAGACGACGGTGCTCACGCGCGACCCTGCGCGAGCGGCTCGCGCGCGAACGCCAGCGCGGTCGCGCCCGTTCTTGGCGTCGCTCGCGCGCCTCCCTGGCCGCGCCAGGAGGGCGCCCTGCACCAGAGCTGGACCTAAACGCTATTGTGCTGGACTTCGGCTGTGTTTTTTTTGCTTGTCGCTCTGGCAGGGAGGCACAGGAAACCAGGCAGAGCAAAACGAACAACAACGTTTAGGTCCAGCCCAGCCCTGTCCTGCATCGATCCCCTCGCACGCGCCCGGCCAGCAGCGGCGAGCCGATCGAGGGAGCGGGCCACCGCCCGAATGGGGGCGGGAGAGGAGGAGGTGCGACGTGGCGGGCGCGCGCAAGGGGCGCCCGTCCATCCTCGATAGGGGAGCGCCCGATGAGTCCTCCTCCTCCTCCTCCCTCCCTCCCCCCCTCCCTCCCTGCCTCCCTCCCTCGGGGCGCCCGTCCATCCTCGATAGGGGAGCGCCCGATGAGTCCTCCTCCTCCTCCTCCCTCCCTCCCCCCCTCCCTCCCTGCCTCCCTCCCTCCCTCCCTCCCTCCCTCCCTCCCCTCCTCCTCCTCCTCCTCCGCCTCTCCTCCTCCCTCCTCTCTTCCTCCTCCTCCTTCTCCTCCTCCTCCTTCCTCCCCCCCTCCTCCTCCTCCTCCTCCCCTCCTCCCCCGCTCCTCCTCCCCCGCCCCTCCTCCTCTCCTCCTCCTCCTCCTCCTCCTCCTCCTCCTCCTCCTCGTCCTCCTCCCTCGTCCTCCTCCTCCTCCTCCTCCTCCTCTCCGCCTCCTCCTCCTCCTCCTCCTCCTCCTCCTCCTCCTCCTCCCGTGGAAAGGCCCGGGGGCTGGGGGCGAGAAGTCGCCTGCGAGCCCTGGGCCAGGGGCACTCTTCTTGGCGGCGCGCACAGGAAAAGGGGGTAGTAGGAGGGGGGGCGAGGCTTCTGAGAGGGAGGCTGCTTCTCAGAGGGCGCGGGCCTGGCATCCACAGACAGGGCCCGCGGCTCCTGAGAGGCAGGGGATGCTCCTGAGAAGCCCATCCCCCTCCCCAAAAATATCCCCATCTGCTGATGGCAAACGATAGGGGGGGACTGGCAAAACTAGGAGGGGAGGCATCTACCTGGAATCGGGGATACATCGCCGATAGGTCGGCGATAGGCCCCAGATAGTGAATCTGGACCTTTCTGGGCGCAGGTTGGGGCTATCGGGCCCCTATCGACGATGAATGGGCGATTGGGGTCGATGCATCCCCCCCTGTGCCTATCCCTCCCTCTCGTTGCCCCTCATCTGCGTGTGGCCGACCGAGGAGGCGGCAGAGAGGAGGACGTGCGATGGCACAGCGCGAGGCAGGGCGGGAACCGTTGCTGGCGTCGACGGGCGGGGCAGCGCCGCGCCGAAGGGGCCTCATAGTGCGCCGCGGGGCCGCGCCTACCCGCTGCCTAGGACGAAGACGAGGAGGCGGCCTTGCCCTTCCTCTTCCTCGTCGGAGGGGGGGGGGGGGCGGCCACGAGAACGGCGCCATTGCACCCTGCCGCGCTCGGGTGCCCCTCGCGTCCCGCTCTCCAGCGCGGTGCACGGTGCGCAGTTGTTCGGCCCTCCTCCTCCTCCTCCTCCTCCTCCTCCTCCTTCTCCCCTTCCTCCTCCTCCCCCCTCCTCCCTTCCTCCTCCTCTCCTCCTCCCTCCTCCTCCTCCTCCTCCTCCTCCTCCTCCTCCTCCTCCTCCTCCTCCTCCTCCTCCTCCTCCTAGGGCCGAACACAAACGATGCCCCGTACCATGCCTGGGTCGAGGATCGACGACGCCTCCGGAGACGCCAACGCGGTACGGTGCACACAGGGTCGCCCGCGGAGGACTCCGCGCGGATTGCCCAGATCGGCGCAGGAGCCCCCTCCCTTGCGCGCGGAGCGCGCCAGGGGCGGCGCCAGAGGTGCCAGGGGGGGGCCCCGCGCCCATCCAAGAAGACCACGCGGAACTCCAGAAGTGCATGTTTGCTTTCTCCGGCTCCTCCTCCTTCTCCTCTTCGGCCTGCTCCTGCTCCGCGAGGGGCTCGCGCCGCTCTCCGACGCGTCCCGCTGCCTCTTCTTGCTCCTGCTCTTCGAGCGCTGGGGCGAGACGCTGCCGAACAGCTGCTTGCGGCGGTCGTCGCTCAGCCCCTGGAACTTCGGGCCTGCGTCGGCGACTCCCAAGGGTACGGTTTGCAAAGGGTGTGGTCTGCAACCGGCACCCTTTGAGCAGGGCCCGACCGTCCTGGCATTCCTATAGTCCTACCACAACAACAATGCTCTTAGAACATAAGCCCGATGTGTTAAAACAAGACGCTCCCAGCCAGAAATGTTCTAAGAACATTTCGTGGTCTTAGAACATTGTTTGGTAGGGCTACAGGCACGCCAGGACGCTTCGCCACTACTTGAACCCTGGGGGGCACCCGGGATGGGCGGGCGGGGACCTCGGCAGAGGCCTCCACCGCGCCCCGAGGAGGCCCGACGAGGACGGCGCCGCGCCGCCCAGGCCCCAACGGCGCCGACCGCAAGCCACACCCCGGCGTAATCACGCCCTCTGTAGTCGCCGACTGTGGTCGGGGGCGGCCAGTCCGAGAGGGGGGGGCGCCACTCCTGGCCGGCGGCAGGTGCGCGGCCCAGAGGGGGGTGGTCCAGGGACGCAATGAGACAAGCAGGGGCGCCACGACATCGGGGGAAACATCATGGCCCGCACCATGAGATCCCCCCCCCCTGGTCATCACCCCTCCTCTTGGCCGCCCCCCATGTGGGGCGGGCGCCGACGACACCCCCCGGTCGGGCCCTGGGAGTCCGCGCACGGCGCGTGCGGAGGAGGAGGAGGAGGAGGAGGAGGAGGAGGAGGAGGAGGCGAGGAGGAGGAGGAGGAGGAGGAGGAGGAGGAGGAGAGCAGGAGGCGGAGGAGGAGGAGGAGGAGGGAGGAGGAGGAGGGGAGGGAGGAGGAGGAGGAGGAGGGAGGGAGGGAGGGAGGAGGGAGGAGGAGGGGAGGAGGAGGAGGGAGGAGGGAGGGAGGGAGGAGGGAGGAGAGAGATCGAGGCCCTCCTGGCTGCTGGCCAGCAGGGCACGCACACCGACTCATGGGGCCCGCGACTCCGAGCTCGGGCGTTGCCAGAAGTGCCCCTGGCCTTTGGTCGGGCCCGTCCCCCTACAGGGGGATTTTGGACGAAAAATGAATTATCCTGGCAAAGCAACCTAACAGCTATGTGTAGTAGCATATCTGGAAGCATTCCCCTTAAGATTCAGATGAGAATCCAGTTGTAGAATTCTGCTGTTCTCGCAGTCGTAGTCGCATTCGCGACGACAGTCGCAGTGGCAACGGCAGTCGCAGTCACAGCCTCAGCCTCAGCCTCAGCCTGCCTCAGCCTCAGCCTGCCTCAGGGGGATTTTGGACGAAAGATGAAAAATAGTCCAAAAACAAAGACCCCCAGTTGGTCAAAAAAGAAAGAAAATCGTCCCCTTCGTCCCGTAGAGGGACAGGCCCGACTTGACCCTGGTCCAAGGTGCCCCCAGCTTTTCGCTGCATCGTGGGGCCCCTGGGGCCCTCTGGGCCCTGCGAGGGGTGCCCCTGGAGGCCGTCTAGGCCACCCCGAGAATCCTGGGGGCACCTTGGGCCAGGGGTACTTCTAGCAGCACCCGACGAGAAGGGCACCGACTGCCGGATCGGGGTGCCCCAGACATTGGTTGTCTCGTCGAGCCCGGGGAAGAGACGTGGAGGTGTCCCTGGATCCAGGACTTCTGCGAGACATGCGGCGTAGATTTGCGATGTTCCGATCTCGTATGTCTCGTACGGAAAACCAACAGCTCGGAATCTCGTAAAACTCCAGATCTCCACTCCGACAAAAATTCGGCGTAGATTTGCGATGTTCCGATCTCGTATGTCTCGTACGGAAAGCCAACAGCTCGGAATCTCGTAAACATCCAGATCTCCACTCCGACAGAATCTCGTATGACTCCATTCCCCCTAGAGAAGACGAGACAATCTACGAATTTCTGTCAGACCCGACGGGAACAAATAAACCATTCTGGGGCGAGTCGGTTCTGCAGTCAATCCCCTACTCGGTGACGGGGCCAGGCCAGGCGCGGCGCCGGTACACGGTGGGAGCTCGACCACAAAGGACCTCCCGCAAGAAGCCCAACCCAGAGACCCCAAGACACCCACCGATGTCGGGTGTGGGAACGTCACGCCTTCCATGGCAAAACCATCGAACTGGACTTAGGTCGGGCCTGTCCCCCTACAGGGGGATTCTGGGCGACAAATAAAAAATACTCCCAGAATAAACCCAAATGGTCAAACATAGTCAGAACATCGTCCCCAGACTATTTCTTTACTATTTTGGAATATTCCCCCCTGTAGAGGGACAGGCCCGACTTAAAAGTGGACGAGGAGAGCAGTCCCCACCCCGGAGAGACGGAGATCTGAATCGTCGGAAATCTGCGCCTGCGTCACCCCGCGAAGCGCGGAGTGGGACGAGGAGGAGGAGGAGGAGGAGGAGGAGGAGGAGGGAGGAGGAGGAGGAGGAGGGAGGGAGGAGGAGTAGGAGGAGGAGGAGGAGAGAGGAGGAGTGGAAGGAGGAGGAGGAGGAGGAGGAAGGAGGAGGAGGGGGAGGAGGAGGGGGAGGGGAGGAGGAGGAGGAGGAGGAGGAGGAGGAGGAGGAGGGGGAGCCTTCCATGGCAAAGCCATCGAACTGGGCGAGGAGAGCAGTGCCCACCCCCACCTGGGAATGCCTTGGCCCCGCAAGGGCCACCTGCCCCCTCCCGGGCGGGGGTGGGCGCCGCCTCCTGCGGGCCTCGGAGCGCCCATCCCCACCTGGAGGGGCTGCGCGGGGAGGGCCTGCCTGCCCTGCCCCCAGTGGGGTTGGGGACTGCTCCTCCTCCTCCTCCTCCTCCTCCTCCTCCTCCTCCTCCTCCTCCTCCGTCGACGACGACGACGACGACGACGACGACGACGACGACGACGATGAGGAATCCAAACCCAAGAACGAAAGACGAACAAAAAAAACACGAGCACGAACGTTTTGGCGCTCCGCAGAGGGTGTTTCCTGGCATGGGTTTCGACCGCAGCGGCCGCCCTCCCGCCTTTGCCCCCGCTCTTGCCCGCGGCGGGCGGGCCGGCGCCGGGGCCGTCGCCCTTGCCGCCGCCCTTGGAGTTCGTGGGCAGGTCGACGCGCACCTGCCTGTCGTTGAGGGCTCAACGACTTGTGCCGTCCCTCAACTCGCGCTGGAGCGGCCGCGATTTGCTCCAGACTACCCTGGAGGTCTCTGGGCTGACCTGGATTTACGTAGACGTGCCTGGATTTGTCTCGTTTTATCTGCATCTACCTGGATTTATCTGGCTCGATCCCTACAAGTTGATTGGCGAACAGTCGTCAAGCCCTTAGGGACGGCCTGCCGCAGATCTCGACGTTGTTCATCTTCCGCAGCGCCCGCTGTGCGTCCTCTGGCGTCGCGAAGTCCACGAAGGCGAACCCCTTCGGCTTCCCCGTGTCTCGGTCGGTGACGATGCGGGCGCCGACCACCTCTCCGACCTCGGAGAACTTCTCCCGGAGGACCTCTGGAAGCGTAAAAGCCGACAGGATCGTGAACTCTGCCGCCCCGCCCCGACAACAACCAGGAAAGGCAGATCGAGAAATCCGCTGCCCCGCAAAAGAGTGATCCCAATCGCGCGATCCACGTACAATCGAGCCAATCAGCATACAGCGGAGGCCAGTCCACAAGAAACCTTCCACAAAAAACCCAACCCTGAGACCCCAGGGCGTCCACGGATGTCGGGTGTTGGAACGTCACGCTCTCCACAGCACAAGCATCGAAACCCAAGAAACCCAGGGCACCCTGGAGGCAAGCGGAGTGTTTTTCCTGGCATGGGCCCCCACTGCAAGTAAAGCCTAAGCTGACGGGGCCATTGCGGATTTCTAGGATCGGCGCTGGGCAGCCCCCCCCCCCCGGAGCGCGCCAGAGGGCCGGGGCCCGCGGAGGCAAGCGGGGGCCCAGCGCCGATCCAAGCAATACGCGCGGACCTTCCCGAAGTTGCATCCTTGTGCCAATTATGTTCTTACTGCTCTCCCAAATATCACAAACAAATCCGCTTTCCCATAGGAAATTCTTGATATTTGCCCTTGGGGGGCCTGCTCGGCTGCTTCCTGGACTGTCTTGAGGGCTGTTGTGGCTGTCTAAGAGCAGTCTAAGGCATTCTTAGGCTGTCTTCGAGCGCTCTTCAGCCATCTTCCAGACAGCCTGGGGCGCTTTGGGGAGCCTCTTGGGCCAGCTTGGGGGCCTCTGGGGGGGGGGGTCCGGCCGGGACCCCTTCTGGGCCCTCAAGGCCCCCCCCGATCGCCACGTAAAGACGAGGTCGTCGTGCCGGGCCCTCCCCCGGCCTACCCCGATATACATATATATATATATATATGTGTGTGTGTATGTAAATGGTTACTATATATATATAGATATGGTATACTATGTATTAGTATATATGATTGTATTATATTATATTATATCATATGACATTATATCATATTATATGGTGTTGTATGCGATTGTATGATAATGTACTATATTACATTACATTACAACATTATATTATAATGTATTATAGTATATGCTATTGTATTGTAGTATATTACAATGTAGTGTAATGTGCAATGTTCGGTTTTATATTATGTTATCGTATACTGTAGTATCTGATGATATATTATACCATACTACATTATCTTATAGTACGATATAGTCTATTCTAAGACATGACATTATAGTTTATTATAATATAGTATAGTATATCATATCATATTATAACCTGTTATATTATAGTATATTACACTAAATAACTTTGTGCGTTGCTATGTTGTAGTATGATATATTATGGTAAAATAGATCATAGTATAGTCTTTATCATATTATATTATACTGTATTATGTTGTAGTAGCATATTACCTTCTAATATACTGTAGTAAATAATGTAACGTGATGTAATGTGGTATAATATGATATAATATAAATATTGTATCAAAATATACTATTATGGTGTATTATATTGTATTATATGATATTATGTTGTGCTATACCATAATATACTATATTATAATATCTTACATTATGCTATATTATGTTAGGCTATGTTACATTGTATTATAGCATTGTGTATATATACACAAGACTGCAGCGGCGCTTCGCGCCATGCACCTTGGTCCTTGACAATTGGCACGCAGGCGGAATAGCAGGAAGGTCAAGCCGACAATTCAGCGATACCTCCTTGTGGCCTTTTCTGGCATCGCCGCTATAATCATGTTATTCCGGATCCTTCCTCCATGCTTTTTTTTCCTCACGTTCGCCATACACTGCGCATTCTCCCCATCCTCCTCAGCTCTTTTTTGCGGAGGCTCCTCCTTGGAGAGCCTCTGGGGGCCTCACAAAAGCTGTTTCAGGCTTTCGTAAGGCCTTCTGGAGGCCTCCTGGGCGTATTCTAGGGGCCTCTGGGGGCTTCCTCGGGCCACCCTGCCTCCAACCGCGGTCTCCCTGAACGACCGGGTCACGATTTGGAATGCTTCGGAGGGTGTCTTGGGGCCGTCTTGGGCCGCCATGGGGCTCTGTGAGGGCAATCTTGGACCCGTGTTGTGCCGTTTTGGGGCTCTCTTGGACTGCCTGGAAGCCCTTTCGGATGGTTGTGGGGCGATTTTGGAGCCTCCCAGGCGGCTTCGGACGCCCAGAAGACCGCCGTCTTGGAGCGTCGGGAAGCCGAAAAGAGGAGAACCCCCAAATTCACCAAAAACCAACAGAAAATCAATGATTTTTGCCTCTTGGGGCCTTCTTGGGAGTGCTCTTGGAGGCCTCTTTGGGGCCGTCCTGGAGGCCTCTTGGGCCATCTTAAGGTTACTTCGGTAACTCTTGGAGCGCTCTTGTGCTGTCTTGGGGGTCTCTGGGACGTCTCCGATGACCCCCCTGATCGTCCTAGGTGTGCTGGGAAGGCGTTGCAAAACGCCCTGCGAGGCCCAGGGGGCCGCTTCGAGGCCCGTCCGGAGGGTCCCAAAGCCCCAGATCCCGGGAGTCCGGTTTTTTTGGGGGGGTCCCCCGCCCGGGCTTATGAAAATATAAGAGAAGGAGTATATGTGTGTACGCACATGTATGTGTATGTGTATGTGCATGTGTATGCGAATGTGTATGTGTATGTGTATGTGCATGTGTATGTGTAATTATGTGTCTGTGTCTGTGTCTGTGTATGTGTCTGTGTCTGTGTCTGTGTCTGCGTCTGTGTCTGCGTCTGTGTCTGTGTTTGCGTCTATGTCTGCGTCTGTGTCTGTGTCTGCGTCTGTGCGTGCGTGTGTGTGCGTGCTTGCGCGCGTGCGTGCGTGCGTGCGCGTGCGTGCGTGCGCGTGCGCGTGCGCGTGCGCGTGCGCGTGTGCGTGTGCGTGTGCGTGTGCGTGTGCGTGTGCTTGTGCGTGTGCGTGTGCGTGTGCGTGTGCGTGTGCGTGTGCGTGTGCGTGTGCGTGTGCGTGTGCGTGTGCGTGTGCGTGTGCGTGTGCGTGTGCGTGTGCGTGTGCGTGTGCGTGTGCGTGTGCGTGTGCGTGTGCGTGTGCGTGTGCGTGTGCGTGTGCGTGTGCGTGTGCGTGTGCGTGTGCGTGTGCGTGTGCGTGTGCGTGTGCGTGTGCGTGTGCGTGTGCGTGTGCGTGTGCGTGTGCGTGTGCGTGTGCGTGTGCGTGTGCGTGTGCGTGTGCGTGTGCGTGTGCGTGTGCGTGTGCGTGTGCGTGTGCGTGTGCGTGTGCGTGTGCGTGTGCGTGCGTGCGTGTGTGTGCAAATGTGTGTAAATGTATGTGCGCACTCTGGTCCCTGAAGTGGCCAGATGTATCCCCATCCGCCGTCTGCCGAGGCCTCCGAGGCCGTTCCCCAGGCGGTGGTGATGGAACAGTTCCCGCCTCGCCCCCCCCCTCATTCTTCTACGCAGATCAAAAACACGGCGTAACCCCAAACTTTTGGGGGCCCGTGCGGACTTCCTGGATCCGCGCTGGACACCCCTCCCCCCTTCTTTCTTATAGACCAAAAACACGGCGTAGACACAAACTTTGGGGGACCCGCGCGGACTTCTTGGATCCGCGCTGGAACCCCCCTCCCTCCCTCCTCTTTCTTACATCAAAAAGACGGCGTAAACTTAGGTCAGGCGTGTCCTCCTACAGGCGGATTTTAGAAGACACATCCGAAGTACTCCAAACTATATTGCAAAAATACCCACAAATAGTCGCAACATCGTCCCCAGATTATTTTTGTGGACTATCTTTGGATATTCCTCCTGTAGAGGAACAAGCCCGACTTTAGCCTGAACGCAGGCTTTGGGGGGTCCGCGCGGACTTTTTGGATCCACGCTGGACCCCCCTCCCCGGCGCACGGAGCGCGCCAGGCGGAGCGCCGGAGGCGGCGCCAGGGGGGAGGGCCAGCGCCAAATCCGCGCGAAGCTTCTAGGAAGCTGGAAACATGCGTGGCCGGATGCACATGTGGAACATCTGGGGTCTGGAGGCCGCCTCCATCTAAAAGGGAGGGAGAGAGGGAGGGAGGGAGGGAGGGAGGGAGGGAGGGAGGGAGGGAGGAGGGAGGGAGGAGGAGGAGGAGGAGGAGGACGAGGAGGAAGAGGACGAGCAGGACGCCGCCTCCTGGATACACACGCGGAGGACAACCGTGCTTGGCCACACAAAGGGCCGAGCGCTGGAACAACATGCGGCCAGGTCCCGGCAAACCTGCACCTGCTGTCGTCTTTTGGGTGCGTATCTTCTACTTCCGCCGCCTTCTGCCAGCCTTCCGCCGGCTTCCGCCAGCGGAGGCCGCCTCGTGTTACTTCCGCCGCCTTCCGCGGCGTTTCTGCCGCCTTCCGCCGAGGAAGGGACGGTAACTCTTTCGTTCCTCGACGGCGAGGCCCTTTCTAAAACGCCTCATCTGGCTTCCTGGTGTGTTTACATCATGGGGGAACCATAAGGTACTGATACCGCTACTTGGACCTCTCCCGGGGCGCGTTCTGACCGGGATTTCGAAGCGAATCCGGCGGTGGCGACGAGGACCTCCCAAGAGGCTGAAAAAGGGGAAGACGGGCAACGGGTAGCGGTAACGGTATCAATTCCTCCTCTGAATTCCAAACCCGGCACGTCATGATTTTTTCATGACGTCGACCCCCAGAGGTCTCGACCCATTCCACGGGACCAGTGCTTCATCTTGAGTCGTTTTTGACGGTCCCGCGGCCCAGTGAGGGCCCAAAGGCCGCAAATTTTGATAAACAACCCGCCGTGATTTCTGTCAGGGCTCTAGGCGGGGACTGGCAGTGTTTCTCACTCGTCCTCTTCGAGGCTAGAGGCCTCCTCGATGGGGTCCGAGTAGATGGGGTCGGAGGATCTCGCCGCATCGCCGATGCACTGGCGACGTCGGCGATGCATCGGCGACGTCGGCATGGAGAAAATGGGGCCCCACATCGAGCCGCATCGCGGATGCATCGCCGATGCATCGGCGATGCGCCGAGATCCTCCGACCCCATCAACTCCGACCCCATCTAGAATGCACCTCGTCGGTGCAGAGTAGAGTTCCCGACGACGCGCGAAACATGTGAGATGTGTGTGTGTACCAGAAAGGACATGTGGAGAGCAGAGATAGAAGGAGGGGGAGTGAAGAGGAGAAGGAAGAGGAAAAACGAACAATGACATGAACATACAAAACTCTGAGGTCCGCGCAGATTTCTTGGATCCGCGCTGAACTCCCCTGGCGGCGCCTCGGGCGCCGCCACTGGCGCGCTCCGCGCGCCAGGGAGGGGGGGTCCAGCCCTGATCCGAGAAATCCGCACGGACCTCCGAGTTGTTATGTTCATGTCATTGTTCGTTCCTCTATAGAGAGGCTTCGCCGGTGCAGATCCAATCCACTCCGACCCCTTCTGGGAGGGAGGGAGGGAGGGAAGGAGGGAGGGAGGGAGGAGAGGGAGGAGAGGGAGGAGAGGGAGGAGAAGGAGGAGAGGGAGGAGGAGGAGGAAGGAGGAGGAAGGAGGAGAGGGAGGAGGAAGGAGGAGGAGGAGGAGGAGGAGGAGGAGGAGGAGGAGGAGGACGAGCAGGAGGCCTCGTCGGTGCAGAGAACGGACACGCCCCCGACGAAGACGCGCTTGTCGCCGCCGCCATCGCGGGGGCGGTCCTCCGCTCCGCGCTCGGCGCCGCCGGGCCCCGCCCGGGGGCCGCGCTCCCCGCCCTTGACCTCCACCGTGATGGGTCGGCCGCAGATCTCCTCGGGGGCGCTCACGAATCGCAGACCTCCTCCTCATCCTCCTCCTCCTCCAGTGCCTCCTCCTCCTCCTTTTCTTCTTCCTCCTCCTCCTCCTCATCCTCATCCTCCCTGTCCTCCTCCTCCTCTTCTCTTCTTCTTCCTCCTCTTCTCCCTTTTCGTCATCGTCATGATCATGATCATCAGCATCATCATCATCATCATCATCATCATCATCAGCATCAGCATCAGCATCAGCATCATCACCATCATGTTCATCATCATGATCATCATTACCAGCAGCAGCACCATCATCATCATCACCATCAACATCAACATCATCAACAGTTGTATCATCTTCACCATCATCATTATCATCATCATCCACAGCATCAGTTTCATCATCATCATCGTCATCATCATCCTAACATCATACTCATCACCAGCATCGGCATCATCATCATCATCATCAGCATCCTCATCCTCATCCTCATCCTCATCAACATCATCACCACCATCATCGTCGTCTTCATCAGCAGAAGCATCATCGTCATCATCATCATTATCATCATCGTCAGCATCATCATCGCCATCATCATCACCATCACCATCATCATCATCAGCAACATCATCGTCATCATCATCATCAGCATCAGCATCATCATCATCTTCATCGTCATCGTCATCGTCAGCATCAGCATCAGCATCAGCATCCGCATCAGCATCAGCATCATCATCATCATCACAATAATCATCATCATCATCACCATCACCATCATCATCATCCACATCATCAGCATCAGCATCAGCATCATCACCATCAGGTTCATCATCATGATCATCATTACCAGCAGCAGCACCATCATCATCATCATCACCATCAACATCAACATCATCAACAGTTTCATCATCTTCACCATCATCATTATCATCATCATCCACAGCATCAGTTTCATCATCATCATCGTCATCATCATCCTAACATCATACTCATCACCAGCATCGTCATCATTATCATCATCATCATCATCAGCAGCATCCTCATCCTCATCCTCATCCTCATCCTCATCCTCATCAACATCATCACCACCATCATCGTCGTCTTCATCAGCAGAAGCATCATCATCATCATTATCATCATCGTCAGCATCATCATCACCATCATCATCACCATCACCATCATCATCATCAGCAACATCATCGTCATCATCATCATCAGCATCAGCATCATCATCATCATCTTCATCGTCATCGTCATCGTCATCATCAGCATCAGCATCAGCATAGGCATCAGCATCCGCATCAGCATCAGCATCAGCATCATCATCATCACAATAATCATCATCACCATCACCATCAATATCATCATCATCATCATCATCATCATCATCATCATCATCATCATCATCATCATCATCATCATCCACATCATCAGCATCATCATCATCATCATCATCATCATCATCATCATCATCATCATCATCATCCTTCTCGTCCTTCTCCCCCTCCTTCTCTTCTCCCTCCTCCTCCTCCTCCTCCTCCTCCTCCTCCTCCTCCTGCTCTGGAGGAGAAGCCGGTCCCGGGGAATGGGTCGAGACCCCTCGGGGTCGACGTCATGAGAAAATCCGCCGACCCCTGGGGGTCACGGCGTGTAAGATGCCTCCCCCTCCCCAAAGCCCTTCCCTGGGAGCCGGGTCCTGCCGGTTTGGAGGGGTGGGGGAGTGGGGGGCAAAGGTGTCGGCCGCACCCATGGAGGCTCAGGGGGCCCCAAAACGCGACAGGCCCCAAAAGGCCCGCCGGACGGTCCGAGAGGGCTACGAATCGCCGAAAGGTCGCTCCAAGACGCCCAAGATTGCCTCCAGACTGTCCCAGAGGTCCCCAAGACGCCCCAAGAAGCCACCAAGAGGCGTCCCAAGAGGCCCTCCAGAAGAGCAAACATCGTCCCATTCCCTCGGGGAAACGCATGATTTTAGCACCTTCGCCTCTTGGGCTTTCACGAGGCCCACAACGGCCCAATAAGCCTGAAAGATCGACCCAAGATAGCCCAAGAGGCCCCCAAAAGGGCTCCACCCCAAGAGGAGGCCCAGAGGGGGAACCCGACTGAACATTTCGAGCACTCGGCCCCGAAAAAACCTGAGGCGCCGATCGGCCCCCAAAAGGCTCCCACGAGGCCCCCGAGAGGCCCAAAAGAGGCTCCTAGAGGCCTCAAAACGGCCCCCAAGAGGTCCCCAAGAGCCCTGAGAACCCCAAAGCAGAGCCGCGATCCGCCAACCGCCCCCGACGAAATCCCAAGAAGCTGAAACCCTAAGATTCCCCAGGAATCGCTCCGCAAACTCAGCTTTTCACTCTAACTGCCGCCCCAAGAGGTCGGCGGTGCGGCGTCAGCCAGCGAATCCACGTCCGGAAGTGACGTGCTGAGCGGCAGCGTTTTCCGCGGATGCTGTAACGCAGTGTATCCAGTGTATCCAATGATTGCATGATTGCCACATCGCATTGTGTTACATGTTTATGACTCCCCCCCTATACCCCCCTGGGAGCTGCGCCACAGGAGCGGACCAAAGTGCCCCCCCCCCTCCCGGGGTTCAAAAACCTATCAAAACCTATAGAAAATCTATGTTTTCGACTTCTTGGGCCTCTTGGGGGGCCAAGAGGGCGCCAAAACGGCTCAAGATGGGCTCTGTGCGGGCCAAGACGGCCCCGAGACGGTCCAAGACGGCCCCAAGAGGGCCCAAAAAGCTCCAATGACGGCCCAAAAGGGCCCCAAGAGCGGCCACAACTGCGCTTCCAGAAACCAAAATCATCGATTTCCCTTTAGTTTGGTACGTTCTCGCCTTTGCGGCCCAAGCAACTTCCCAAATCGCTCCACAACAACCCAAGAAGCCCCCAGGAGTGCCCCAATACGGCCCAACAAAAACCCCAAGACGGCCCAAAAAGGCCCCCAAGACGGTCCAAGAGGCCCCTATGACGGCCCAAGAGGACCCCAAGACGGCCCCAAGGCGGCCGCGAGAGGCCCCCAAGACGGCCTCCGAAGGGGCGAAACGGCGCAAAAGCGCCCCAATACGGCCAAAAACGCCCCCAAGAGGCCCCAAGAGGCCCCCAAGAGGCCCCCAAGGGGCCCCCCAAAAAACCCAAGAGGCCTCCAAGATGTCCTCAAGAAGCCTCCCAAAGCCACCAAAGAAGCCCCCCAAAGGCCACACAGCGACTGGAGTGTACTGTCATTTTTCCCCCCTGGGCGAGGTGCGGCGCAGCGCCAGCCAGGTGGAAGTTGGTCACAGCGGCGCCCATGATTAGAGCCGGCGCTGGGAGGAAATATGGGGAGGGGGTATGAAAAGGAGGGAGGGGGGAGAGGCCCCAAAGAAGTACCCAAGAGGCCCAAGGAAGCTCCCAGGAGGCCTCCAAGAGGCCCCCAAGAGGCTCCCAAGAGGCTCCGCGACAACGTGACTGCACGTGCTCCGGACGTGCACCCCGCGAAGCGAGAGGAATCCACGTCCGGAGGTGACGTGCTGAGCGGCAGCGTTTTTCGGCGAACGCCTTAATTCAATGTATCCAATGTATCCAATGATTGCATAATTGCCACATATTGCATTGTGTTACATTACTATGTCTCCCCCCTAACCCCCCCTGGGAGCCGCGCCACAGTGCCGTACCAAACTGGTCGCCCCTCCTTCTGGGGCCCCAAACCTACAAAAACCAATGACACATCAAAAAATTCTGCCTCTTGGGCCTCTGGGGACTCCAAGAGGGCCTCAAGATGGCCCCAAGACGGCCCAAGACGGCCCCAAGACGGCCCAAGATATTGCCAACGGGGGCCCTTGAGGCCCCCAAGACGGCCCCAAGAGGGCCCCAAAAACCCCAAGGACGGCCCAAGAGGGCCCCAAGAGCGCCCACAACTGTGCCTCCAGAGGCCGAAATCGTTGATTTTCCAATGGTTTTTGCTATATTTTAGCGTTCTCGCATTTTTCGATTCAAAAATCCATGACAGCCCGAGCAGCTCCCAGAATCGCCCCAGAATGCAAAAAAAAAAAAAAAAAAAAAAAAAATATGGCCACGAACCCCGACCTTGGAGGACAAGTGGGCGTGACTTGCGAGAAAACAAAACAGCAAAGAAGAGGATGCCAACAGCGCGCATGACGTTGGTTCCCGCGTTGTCCGTTTGACGCTGCGAGGGTTTGTCGAGGCGCCCCCAGCCGTCCCGGGGTCTAGTTGGGGCAGTCCCAGTGCTCTCTTGGGCGTTTCTGGGGGCTTGCTGGAGGCGTCTCGAAGCCTTTTGGGGCCTCTTGGGGGCCTGTTGGGGGTCTCCTGGGGACCTTTGGGGCCCCTGGGGGGCTCTTTGGGCGGGGAGCTCGAAATGTCAGTCCCCGCGCCAGGCGGCCACACGTGGAACACATCGTGGCGTCAACGGCCAACAGTATTCTAAGATGCTCGCTGCCGTGCGCAGCAATCAAAATCAATTAAAGGCCTGGGGAGGGCCAGAGGCCGCTGGCCAACGACCACCATTCCTGTGAGATGTGCACTTGCAAGCGAAGAATTGAAGTACACATGTGTAATTGGAGTGGAGCATACAAAGTGATGGTCGTCAACTGCGGGAGAGCCCCTCCCGGCCATACGTGGGCCACGTCGTGGCGCCAACGACCACCGATTTTCTTAGATGCCCACTGCCGTGCGAATCTTTCAAAATCCGCCCACTCCAACTTGGGGGGGGGGGGGAATGCGCGTGAGACATTTGGCTGCGCCCCTCAACTCTTCCCGATCCCCTGGGGCCCAAAATGACGTTTTGAGGGGGGCCTTCCCCGGGCCTTTGACTTCGTGAACGCTTTACCTGGAGCCTCGGGGGCCTTAAAAGAGCTCGAAACAGCCTAGGAGGGCTCACACAGAGCGCCAAGATAATTCGACAGGGCTTTAAAATGACCCAGGGCAATCCCACGACGGTCCGACACGGGTGCGCGATGACCCACGCGGCCCCCAAGACGGCCCAAGAGTGCTCCTAGATGGCCGCCGAGAGAGCCAGAAGAGTCTACCATGTT